CCCCTTGCCTTGAAAGAATTCACAGGCGGCCACCAGCTTTCAAAAATGAAATAAATAAGGGGAGATCTGCTGCTTACTGCTCACGGAAACATCCGACCTATACTATAGTCAAGTCGTCCGCCTATCTTTCTGATCTCTCTTCCTTCTATTTATCATATTTTTGGCTTTGACCAATTCAAGGTGAAAAAAAAATGGGGTTGGCTAAAGCTAAAAAAGGGGAAGAGAGGATAGCTTTGGGGTACGCTCACTTCTGCATTTTTTTGTAGGTTATCGAGATTATCAATCGCTCTTTTTAGTGGGGAGGAATAGTGCGTGAATGGCGGTTCTCAGACGAGGGAATCGTTCCTCTCTAAAAAAAAAGATAGGCTAGAATGAATGCTTCTATCGATAGAGCTTTCACGTCTGCATATAGAATCGTTTTTTTGCCTTTCCATTCCGTTCTTACTATATCATGGGCTGTTGGGTTGGAATCCGTGTGATGGTTCGAGAGTCAAATATTCTTCGCATCCATCTTCGGCCTTGTGTTAGAAATGTCCCGCGGGACTGAGTTAGTGGTCGAGTCGTTTTTGGTAATTGACACCCGTCGCATTAGTTTCAATTCATATGTTACCATTCATAGTGAAGTAGCTCTCTTTTTGATGTCTTAGTGCCTTATTCTATCTATCAAAGTCCTTCTTTGTCTATAGCTCGGGTCAGTCCCCCATGGTCTGCTTTGATTTTCTCGAACAGTGCCGGCCCGCATCAGGGACTCTCGTGCGAGCCATACAACGTTCCCAGGCAGGAACTGCTCCTTTCCTTGAGCTCCCTATTTAGTTCCTCCCATCCCAGCCAGGCGTTGATCTCGCAACGGCCCTCCAGCATGTCCTCATATCGCGTCCGTCACCACAGCAGCGCATCCCCAGATAGATACTAGCCATTGTGACTTGGTCGTAAAAAGGGGCACAAACAGAAAGTACTATTCCATATCCCAAAAGTTAGTCTTCGATCCTTAGCATCTCGGGTGCCAACGAATGCCTTTGGTTTCGCTTGATTCGAACCATCTCCGTCGAGCCACTGCTTACGGCCTTATGTAGTATGGGGACCTCACCCCTATTCTCTAAAGCTTGCCACCCCGTGGAAGGTCACACAAGAAGGCTATTCGACCGACAAAACTTAGGAATTAGTGCGTGCTGAAAAATTTACTTTTCTTTCTAAGTGAAGGGCAGGAGAAAGAATCTTGCATCTATCTCGAGTTGCTCCCTTGAGCGATCTATCCCTGGTTTTGTGACGTCGAGTTTGCTCTATTCTCTTAGCTCGGGCTCCTATCAAGCTTAGCTTCGCGCATGATAATGATAGCGGCATTCTTTTTTGGTTTTGGGGAAGGAAGTCGCTCGCTAGTGCACTGCACCTCACCCAAGGTTCACGTCGCTAGGTCAATTCATGCTTCGACGCACTCCCGCCTCGTGTTTTCGACAGAGTGTTGTGCCATACTTCGAGAATGACACGGTTCGGAGGAACTCTAACTCATTTGGGTGAAAACTCCTTCTTCCAATCCCGTAGAGAGGCCCGGAAGAATAACAAGACGATTGACCAATTGAATCATCTTAAATTAAAGACATCATGCCCTAGACGCGAAGGTGAGTAAGAGAGCCGGGTGAATTCTGCGAAGATAGAAGAGCGGACTTCTGAGGAGACTGGAAGCCTATAAATAATAGGAATGGCAAACTGGAACCTCATCCTTCAAAGGTTTGGTGTATATGTGTCCTATTCGTAACGACCCCGACCTTGCGTCATGGAAAGTGGCAAAAAGCCTAAGACTCTACGGGCTAGCCGGGCCTAAAGGAGCTTATAAAATTCCACCTATGTAGTGGCTCGCATTCAACAACTAAGATAAGAGTCTTCCTTCTCATCTCCTTATTTTGAATTCCATTCTTCTTCATTTCCCACCCTAGCCGCCCTTCCTTAACAAGATGGCTCGGAGCAAGCCAAGCAAAGTCTTACGTTATCTACTATCTTTTTTTTTAGCGCAGAAGGGGGGTAAGCACACAATGAAATAGGTGGAGAGTCACATTTCTTTATAAAGCCCAAAAGCCCGTTTAGCCCTTCGGACTAAGGCGTGACCATAGGATCTCACAGTGTCGGAATGAGTTGAAGACGAGATGTGGTGTCCAGTCGGATAGGGCGAGGCGAGAAGGGGAACAAGGATCAAAACAGGCATGGTGCTTAGGGCGGCCTCTTTCATTTCCTGACGTTGGGTTCATTCGCGAACGAGACAAGTTTAGCTAGGAGCCTCCTTATTGCCCAGCCCCCTTCTTAGTTGCCGAAGTATAGGCCCGCGTGAGATCAAAGTAACCTGCCGTCCGTTCGCTTTGTTTTGGTCTTGACGTGCTTTGAAAAACATAGATATATTATTTGCACTAGAACACTGACGATAGACCCACCGGGAACACATTCACTACTAGGCATTGACATCTTAATGCCTTGCAATCAGGACATTGATCGATCTTTATGCTTCCCAGCAGCTATACAATACGAATCGGCTACCAGTACCTATTAAGTTAAGACCGCTCGAGTTCTTGAGACCGGGGAGGGGCACCCCCAGTGCAGGGCCAATTTAAGTGCCGGTTGGAGACCTGGTTCGAGATGCATATCTTGAAAGAGAGCCATCACCTCGCCCAACATCCCTTCCTTTTCAATAGTAAATTCGAGAGCCAAATCCAAAAGCTTAATTAAAAAGCAGTTGATCTTGATCCAATTCCCGATGCATAGGGCGAAATCTGGTTGAAGCCCCCGGTCATTTTTAGTAGTGCTGCTCGCTATAAATATCTTTTTGAGGACAGCTGACGTCAAAAATTGTAGTTAATTATGAATCTTCTTCTCAGAAAGACCATCGAAGAAGAGCATATCCACCTTGAAGACCTTCTGGAAAGTCGCCTATGGAAAGAGCATACCCAACCAATATGAGCCTGTCCGAGACTTGCCATTCCCATGGAAGAAAGTTTCCCTGCGTATTGATTCATTACCGACTGAACGGAATATGCTTGCTTCTATTCCCTCCCTCCGAGCGAGTAACCGTGATTGTATAGCTGTACGGAATCCCCTGGGGAGTTAAGGGATAGGTGAAAGAGGAGGGGGTGGAAGAACTACTTCAAGTCATCCATAAGATTCCATACCTTTCTGGCTATACGGAAGGGCGGAATGGATCATCAGAGGGTGGAAATTTACTCCAATTGGAATACTGGCTTTTCCATAGGGATTGCATGCCCATTTTAGGGATTAATCACTTCACGGGAGAGAACACGAGGGATGAGCGACGATCGGCCTACGTTTTGACTAGTCATCATCGGTTTACCCGCTTGCTGAAACCACCCTCCATAGCCGATTGGATGGTTGGATAGCCACTCAACTCTTCACTATACTTCCTGTATCCCACTCCCCTCTCTATCTCTCTCGACCCATTCACCGGAGTATGTTGGGCTGGAATGCCTCCATTCCCATCTCTTTATGATCTCTGGGCCTTCCCGCTATGAGATATTCCCGGCGCAGAAGCATATTCATGCATAATACTCAAATAATAATTTCCCCTCTCCATATAGGGGTAGGAATCCCTAGAAGAGGATAGAAGGTCATTTTGTCATCAGTGGAAAAGCATGCGTGATAAGGATACTCCTCTATGCGAATGTTCTAGCTTTCAAAGGACGGGGAGGAGGGAGTTTCGGGAACAAAGCCCCCGGATTTAAAAGTGAAGCCCTACCCTAGTAATATCTTTTCCCTATCTAAGCTATATCAACATAGCCAACTATAAAACTAATGCGCTTGTCAATGAATTCTTGGTGTAATACGTAAATGATTGGTGTCATAATTTTTCACTGATCAGTCTCATCCGTGTAAGAATTAGGAATTCCTCTTCCAACTCGTCCCGGAATGGGTGTTATGGCAAAGAACAAGAAGAACACAAAAGGAGGAATTTGTCCAATAGTAACAAATGGTGCCTCCACAGGTTGACATCCGATCCAACCTAGTAGTAAGCGATCCGCCAAAAGCAACCAAAATATTCCTTGGTGAATAGGGCGAAAACTTGAACTACGCACGTACATACTTTTAAAAAAAGGTAAAGCCAACAGACATATAAAAACAGGTGCTATTGCGGCTACACCTCCCGATTTGTCAGGTATACTACGAAGAATGGCATGGATCGGTAGGAAATACCATTCCGGCACAATATGAGGCGGGGTGGGCATCGGATTAGCAGGTATATAATTGTCGGGATGCCCCAAAACATTAGGAGCATAAAAAATCCAAATGGAAAAAAAGATAGCAAAAGCTACCCAACCTACTAGATCCTTTACATAAAAATAAGGGTAAAAAGAAATTTGATCCATCTCTGAATGTACACCCAATGGATTATTTGATCCATATTGATGCAATGCGGCCAGATGAAGAAGACTGGCGCCTACTAAAATAAAGGGGAGTAAATGATGAAGACTAAAAAAACGATTTAAGGTGGCATTGTCCACGGAGAAACCACCCCAAAGCCAAGTAACTATGGTATCTCCTACTACAGGTATGGCGCTAGCTAAGCTTGTAATTACTGTAGCTCCCCAAAAGCTCATCTGACCCCAAGGTGGTACGTATCCTGTAAAAGCTGTCACAATCATTAATAGGAAGATTACAACTCCGAGACACCGAACAAATTCCCTAGGACTGCTATAACTCGCATGATATAGACCACGAAAAATATGAAGGTGAACCACAATGAGAAACATACTTGCCCCATTAGCATGCATATAACGGAGCAACCAGCCCCCTTCAACATCTCTCATAACGTGTTCTACGCTGTTGAAAGCTAGATCCACATGAGGTGTGTAATGCATAGCTAAAAAAACGCCAGTCACTATCTGAATTACTAAACAAATACCAGCTAACGAACCGAAGCCCCACCAATAACTAAGATTGCTCGGGGTTGGATAATCTATCAAATGTTGATTAAGTGTGGAGGATATAGGTTGTTTTAGAAGAGATAATCGTTGGTTCCTTATAGTCATTTTTTTCTCTTTCCTATCGTGACAACTCAGGTTCCCCCACCTTTTTTTCGTTCTGGGGCCCTACTTAAAAAGAATAAAGAATCAATTATTTATAGTACCTTTTCTTTCTTCCACCTCCGAAGGATGGAGGGGGTATACAGCGAAAGAAGCGAGCGTCGAAGGGGTCGGGTCATCCTGGGTTACTGAAGAGTCGGACGACTGCTCGGTGACCGAATCTGAGGGGTTTTTACCGCTTTCTCTTCTCCCCAGCACTCTCGGACTGATCATCTTACTGCAACAAAGCAAGCTTAGGAATGAATCTAATGGAAATTTAGGTCTCTGTCCGCTTGGAAGATTTTTATTTCCTCTTCGGTGAAAGAGGGCAAAGGTGTGTGGGAGAAATAATTCTAAAAGGAGAGAAGATTTCGTCCACCAAGCGGGACAGAGTGCGACCCCTAAGCAATTGGAGGTTCTCGTCCAGGGTCCATATCATCTGAAAACTTTTCCTGTTCGATTAACATAGCTAAATTTTATTTGAATAGGATGACTCAGCGTCAGGAAAAGTCAAGTAAGTAAGTCCCCCTTTTGCCTTGAAATAAATTGGTTTCGCTGCGCCCTGAATCAATCAAAAAGCTTTTTTTTTAATTCATCCCATTTTTTTGGGGCGAGGGTCTTTCATTAAAGGGGGGAAAAGAGGGGTGGGGCCGCCTTGCGCAGCTTTAGAAAGGAGACAATTTCATAAAGTAACTCTCTCCAACCTTTTATATCTATCCGGGCGAGATAAAGTCAATATGATATTTGCGTTGGTTTTTCCAACGAAACTAAGCACTTTTTTTTCTTTATTATTCGGAAGGCTCAGTCCCACACTCTGACTTTAATGATGGGAACAACCCCCGCACTCCGGCGCTCCAATGAACAACAGTTCTCCGCCTTACTTTATTTAGAATAGTGGTCGACCCCTCGGGAGTTACATTCGTAACTTAATGTTATGTTCACGTTCACGCGGTGATATTATATCCAAGAGTACTACCCTGTACGTAGTCTATGTCTGGGGAGCATACTTGACAGGAGATAGACACAGGCGGTAGATAGGTCCCCCACTTCGATTCCTGCCCCGTTAGCATCTCCGATCCGAGATAAGGGATTACTCCGTTAGGTCTTTTCGGTCCGGAGCCGGCCGGTAATGGACCTACTTACCTTGCTTGTGGACCAGCTGCGGAGCTAACCCTTGTTTTATGGGTTTGGCGGTTGCTACCAAGACGATTTCTTTATGCCCATCAAAGGACCTCGAGATGCTAATCCACGAAAAACGATACGAGAAATTCGAAAGAACTCATATACGGAACGAGGGCGACCCGTGGAAATACATCGGTTTCTTACTCGTGCAAAGGAACTATTTCTTGGCAACTTGGACAACTTATAACGAAGTTTGTCCCGCATATCACTAGGAAGATCGGAATCTTTACAAAAGGCTTTATAAAGCTTTCGTCTCAATTCATATTTAGCCGCGAGCAATCTGCGTTTGTGATCTCGTATATTTCGCTTCTCCGACATCTCTTACTGAGTTTCTCCCTCATCTTTTTGCAAAAAGCCGCTCCACGGTGGTAAAGTCTCATCTTGTGTGTTGGCCGAAGTTACAATAGTAACATTGAACCCTCGAATATGTTCGAAGATCTCGAAATGATCTTCCAGTTCCGGGGAGAATTCGCAAAACTCCGTTTCCATCGAGAATTGAATGGAGTTTTCCCGTATTTCGACCGGAGAATCTAACAGAGACATTACTGTCGATATTCTGACCGAAAAATTAGACATTCCATGCCCTCGGAGAGTGCTTTGTCGTGCTAGGTCACTGACATATCCTTTGTCTTTTTTTGACCCCAAGAATGGATTGGATCGAAACGACTTTCCTGTCGAACCCCTTTGTGTCTGTATGAATTTCTGACCGCGCGGAATCTCCATAGCCAATTTTCCATTTATTATTATTAAATCATAGGGTGCCTTAGGTACTAATCTTATTTCACACGATCCAGGAACTTCCATAACGTTGGCGTGATTCAGTTTGAGCAACGGATCCTGACGTGATACATCTTCGTAATGAAAATTGAGTGGAAACATAGTGATTGATTGAGACAAAAAAATTCCCTCCAGACAGAAAGAGAGTCTTTCCTGCACGGAGTAGTTAATAAAGAGAGATGTGCTTGGTTGTTGACCAACAGAAAGGATGCATGGGAAAAAGACCTCAGATATCATAGGGAGCGTCGCGTCTTGCACGCGATCTCATCCTGTCCTAGGTGGCTGAGTGTTGATCCGCATCCGCCCGGAATGGCACTCTGTCGGCCAATTGCCGGAAGGTTGCGGACTGCAAACCCGCAGTCTGTAGGTCCTCACGCATTCGAAGGAGCTTACTTAAGGACTCCTCCCCTGTGGCGGTACGAAGATTATCCAGAGCTCTAGCCCCCCGTCCCATCCAATCCCCGCTTGGGTGAAGGCCCGCCATGACCTGACAGATATCGACCTTGACCTCGAATAGGTCTTCGGCTTGAATCCGGGCCATTTGAATTAAATGGGCAGAAGGAGAGGGGGATCCCCCCAAAAGCCTTCGTTGGATGGATTCCACACTATCCCCCCTATAATTTCATCGTGGGGGTAGGGATAGGGGACAGGGGCTGCTTGATTAGCAGCTTCCTGCATAACAGGAAGAGCGGGAGGCATAGCTTGTTCCCCCGGAAGCGGTTGATTGACCGTTGAGGTACTTCTACTACGCCCGGAACTGCCCGAATCCTCCACCAAATCGCTTGTATAAGTAAACAAATCCGAATTGGTGGATTCGGCAGCTCCGTGAGGCATCATGCCATTCCCGATGGAGACCCCCCCATCGGCACTGAATAGTGCCCGCAAAACGAATAAAAAAACCCAGGCAAGTCCCCCCGCGAGGCCTAATTTGAATAAAGCGTAGGATAGGACTCGACTACCAAGAGATAACCCTATTTTAAATAGTAGAGAATTCAAGAAATCTATCGAGCCGAGTTTCATACAAAGATAATAGAAGCCACCAAGTAAAGGAATAATTATTAGGAATGAATAGAATCGGTGGAACAGTCGAGGAAGACCGAGTAAGATCAAAGAAACTAGCAGACTGATCACTAAATAGATACAAATAGGTGCAAATTCTGACATTACCACAAACCACTTGGTTCTTTCGCTCCATTATCGCGGAGCGGCATACCAGAAAAAAAGAAAAAAGATCCGGGCCTGGTCTGGTCGACCCAATCATGATATTTCGACACATTGGGGCTATGGGACTCGAACCCAATTCCATCCAGGGCCCCTCTCACGGAACACCTAAAGAATTTCCGTTGGGCGAGAGCCCTTCTACTCGGCACCGTCGGATCACCGGACAAGTTTTTGTACAGTTGCTTCAGTAGCTATATCTATCTATATACGTTATTTCGTTCGCCTTTGTGGGCTTGGAAGCGTCATAGAATCAGCTTTACGCTTCGGGTAAAGGTCCACTTTGTCGCCCAATAGGGGTGTTCTGGCCCATTCTAAGTTCGGTTGCGTAGTGTTAACTCAGGTGTTGTCTACCCGGGTCGGAGCGGGAATTATCACTTTGTTTCCACGGGTCCAGTCCTTTCGGGTCCAAGTATCTCTAAATTTCTGCCTTTGGTTAGCGGGAAGAGCTCACCTGCCTTGATCATGCTTGGCCGACCTCTACTGATGTATCTGTCATTAATGGAAGCACGAGGGAACGGGTTTCATCGGCAGGCTTTTTTGGTTCGCAAAGCTTGCACTTCCCGGCGAACGAATTGAATGAATCATCATGAAAATTAATTCAACACGTCCGTTACTTAAATACCAGTAGGCTGTAAAAGCAGCTCCCCCTGAAAGCCGTATGGATCCCTTCGCTCGATCGGCAGGCTCTCCTCCCTACAGAGTTGCTTCTGTTCGAAGAGAAGAGCGATGCTGGCGGCGGGGCACTCGAATATGCCCTTTTTATACCAGCACCAAGTGTCCGCCCGTATGATCTCAAAGATAAGAGGAGCTTTCTAATCCCCCCACTACCTTGTGCTTGCCAGTTACAAAACAACTATGTTGCTGAGCCAACTAGCCTGGTCCCGATCACGTTCACAACCAAAGACTCCCTTCTATGGTCTCAGGAGCTAGTTTGCCAAACTATCAAACATGGCAACAACGTTTGCACGCTGTGCTAGTGGTTTTACTTTCATCGCTACTTGGAACCGATAAACCGCACAGAGACGTTCTCGAACACTCTCTCTACGTCATTTTCAAGCGGGTATCCAGGTAAAAGACTTCCTGCCTGCTTGAAGACTGGCTCGAGGAAAGGACCTAGCTAACATCACTTCAATGAAGATTCGCTGCCTAACCTAACTAAAGCCCTTCTTCCGGCTTCCGGTTATTCTGCCTCTCTCTCAGTGCATTTCTGATTCAATCTATTCGATTCAAATTCTCACCCTCGAGTCAGGAGTTGTAGCCCTAATGTAACTTCCTTTTCCTTCGCTAGCCTTGGGGCTTAGTTACTTAATTAAGAGTTATCCCCCCCCCCCCCCTAGCCTATGAAAGCATTCCCATAGCTCTATGCCTAAAGCGTAAATGAGTTAGGAACTAGAGTGAACACCAGGGAATTTCCTTATTAATAGAGTAAGGGCAAAGGCAAGTCTTACCATTCCTGGAAGCGGCTCAAAGCATAGTAGAAAAGGAAAAGGGCCTTTTTTGCTCTGATCCCCGTTTAAATCGAGTTCATACCTGGTGTAGACCGTCGGGGAGGAAAGGCTGACTACTACAAGGGCTTGTGCCAACCAACAAGAAGGGGGACGGAGCAAAGACATCTCTTGGCCAGAACCGGACATTGCCCTTTACCATCCCACCACTAGGAGACTGGGACTCGAGGCGTGGTTAAGTATTCCCTTCCGCTCTTGAAGTCAATAAATTGCCTATCTTTCGGTGAACAATATCTTTATTTTCTTTGATTTTATTTTATAGGAATAATCACTTTACCTTCCTCTGCAGTGAGCTTCTAGAGAGCGTGAAGTAAGTCTTGTAGATCCAGTGTTTTTCCGCCGTAGCCACCTATGCCCTACCCGAAGGGGCTGTGGTTCCTTGTCTCTGTTATCTCACAAAAGAGACTTAACACAACAATCCATCGAAGCTCGGCGTACGCGATTAGAGTCAACTTGACTACTTTAACTTTCCATAACCAAAATGAAAGAAAGTAAACCTATTTTCCTTTTGAAGAGCATATGAGCCTAGGTGTAATAGGGCGGTTCGGGGGGGAGAGTGAAAGCTTTTCTTTTAAGCCTAGTAGCACGGTTGGTTTAAGTCCAATCCGTATGAGTGCTAGTTATTTCAAGCTAGCAGTGCAGTAAAGGTTCATTCCACCCCTAGAAAAGCGGTTGAAAGCAGTCTGTCGGTCTCAGTCCTGGGCAAACCAACCAGTACGGTACCTTAATCTTTCTAGTAACTAGATAGTAAGTCAGTAGTGAGCCAATCCACTAAAGAAAGGGCGAATTCCCCTGCAGAGTCTTTCTAGAGAAAGCAAACCGCTTCGCTTGCCTGAACGGTTCACTTCTCCTTTATAGTTCAGAATTCATTCTATTGACTTGTGGTTGTTGACCAACAAACAGAAAGGGATAAAGAGAAAGATGCACAAACGAAAGGAAGAAGGGCTACTATAGACTAGAGGGGAGGCCTTCTCATACCCAGTTAACTGATTTAGGAGTCTTCCCGGAGAAAGCCGATCTGACTTATTTAGAAAGCTAGAACGGAGAGGGAACACCCGGTTAAATATAGTTTGCTGGTACATAATCCGTTGCTATTGTACTTGGCAAGTAAGCCCAGAAGGAAGAAGTCGTAGCTGCTACCGCTACGTGGGCTTCTTCTTAGTCTGCTCGAAAGGAAAGCCAGTAACTCTAGAGTAGAAAGAAATAGAATCGAGTATGACAGAACCTGTAGCTTTGAGCTTGAACGTCTTTCAGCTCTCACGACCCAGCTGCTGTTGAATCTGCGTAAGGAGATGCCGATGAGGGTACAATAATAGAGAAGAGAAAAGAATTAGCTTTGGTTCAGAGCTTGAATCATAATATCCTTCAGTCACTCCAGGTGATAAGTTCGGCTAAGCCGGAAAGAGTTAGATCCCCAGATGAGATGCGGCAATGTCCTAATCAAAGCAGGCGCAAGGTCAATGATTTAGCTCAAGGCTCTTCTTCTTGATAGCATGGGTCTCGGAAGGCCCTCGCTCTAAAGGGGCTGCTTGATGGCAGCTATCCTGCTCTGTCTTAGATAATTGGAATTGAATTGGTAAGGTTCGCTAGCTCTTTCTTTTGAGACGAATGAATGCCGAAGAAAGGAAGCTAGTCAATAAAGCGTGATAGGGAAAGGCCTTGCCTTTATTACCAGGAAAGATAAAATGGGCCAAATCGCCTGCTAGAGAAGAAGCTCTTAGGGAATCGATCTAGACTAGATGAGATGCCGGTGCCATTAAACTAGCTGCCAGAACGAGTTCAAGAGATGAGGATCCGGGTAGTTCAGTCACCCCCGGGGGGAAAATCATTCCATTCACTTGTTTAACTGCTAAGAAGAATAGCTTTTCTCTTTCGACTGGGAACAGCTTACCTTTGGTGCTTTTTCTTTATATAAGTAGTAGTTGATCCCGTAGAGGCAAGGACGAATCGAGTTAGCATCCCGCCATTCAAAGAGAAAGACCCGGCGCATCTCTTCCTTGCCCGAGAGATTGACCAAAACTTGCTCCCCTTCTTTGGGCCTTTCGGGGTCGGTGGCTAATACGAGAAGGGAGGGCTCTTCAAGAGAAAAGACGAGAGCAGATCAGTTACTAATTGCAATAGGAAAGCCACTCTAGCCTATAGTCTTTGTCTTGAATCATAGAGGAAGGACAAGAGCTCGGACAACAACTATCAAAACTGGAAATGCACCTGGAACCACACTGCTTTAGCTGCTTGAGTACTCGTATCTGCTCCTTCTATCATTGGTGTGGTGGTATCGTATATAAGATCCCGGCTGCATTTAGGAGTTATCTTTTCCTCTAACTATCAATTTCATACATAATATAGATGGTATCCTAGCATAGAAAAGAGATCAAAGGAAGAGAGCGGACATGATCAATAGTACAATAAGTATACAGGAAAGAGAGAAGGCAGAATTGGACAAATAGCAGCTTTTCCGGTCTCAGATGCGGCAACACCCATTACCGGTGTTAGCATGTTAGCACTTTCCCTCTTTTCTCGCACGAGGCAAGCAAGGCCTGGAAGAGTTAATCGTCGAAAAGGAGGAAGGAGGTACGTCAGCAGAGAAGCTCCCCAGCTAAACCATTGGCTGAGGTAATAAAAAAAAAGTCTTTCCTTTTTAGCTGCTTGAAATAGATTCTATTAGACTCATATTAATTTCTTATTTGAATTGGGCGGGCTATAACACGATAAAAATAAAGACACTCTTTTTCTTCGTGACCCATAGTCTTCCATTCCG